CAGAAGCTTTTTAGTTTAATGAAGTCCCATTTATTGATTGCTGTCCTTAATTCCTGAGCAACTTTTGTCCAATTTAGAAAATCCTTTCCTATACCTATATCTTGTAAGTTGTTGCCAATATTTTCTTTTAATAGTTTCAGGGTATCCAGTTTCACATTGAGGTCTTTGATTGATTTGGAGTTGACTTTTGTGCAAGATGAAAGATAAAGATCTAGTTTCATTCTTCTACAGGTGGAGATCCAGTTTTGCCAGCACCATTTATTGAAGATGCTGTCTTTACTCCATTGTGTGTTCTTGGCACCTTTGTCAAATATCAGGTGGCTGAAATTACTTCTACTTGGGTTTGGATCTTCAATGATGTTCCATTGATCTATGTGTCTATTTTTGTACCAGTGCCATGCTGTTTTTAATACTATAGCTCTGTAGTATATTTTGAGATCTGGTATAGTAATCCCCGCAGCGTTACTCTTCGTGCTCAGGGTTCCTTTGCCTATCCAAGGTCTTTTGTGCTTCCATACGAATTTAAGGGTGGTTTTTTTCTAATTCTGTGACGTATGTCATGGGGATTTTGATTGGGATTGCATTGAATCTATTTATTGCTTTTGGTAGGATGGTCATTTTCACAATATTAATTCTTCCAATCCATGAGCATGGGAGGTCCTTCCACCTCCTGGTGTCTTCCTCAATCTCTTTCTTTAATGATTTAAAATTTCCACTGTGGAGATCTTTGGTGTCTTTGGTCAGATTTATTCCAAAATATTTTATTTTTTTGCAGGAATGATGAATGGGAGCATTTCCCTGTATTTTTTCTCCAATTGCTTGTTATTGGTATATAGAAAGGCTATTGAATTTTGTAGATTAATTTTATAACCCGCCACTATATTGAAAGTGTTAATCAGTTCTAGGACTTTTCTGGTGGAACTTTTGGGATTCTTAGGTATAGTATCATATCATCTGCAAAAAGTGATAGTTTGACCTCTTTTTTCCAATTAGTACTCCTTTAATTTCCTTCTGCTGTTTTACTGCTCTAGCAAGAGTTTCAAGAAGCATGTTGAAAAGGAGTGGAGATAGTGGACATCCTTGTCTGGTTCCTGATTTTAATGGGAATGCTTCCAGTTTTTCATTATGAATGATGTTGACTGAGTTTGTTGTATATAGCTTTAACCATATTGAGGTATGTTCCCTCTAGTCCAATTCACTATAGGAATTTGAACATAAATCCTTGCTGAATTTTGTCAAAAGCCTTTTCTGCATCTTTTGAGATGACAATGTGATTTTTGTCTTTGAGTCCATTTATATGATTAATGATATTTTTTTACTTGTGTATACTTAACCATTCCTGCATCT